AATTGTGCCCACATTTTCAAAGTTAAACACATTTCTTTTAACAATGGTAGTTTCTGCTTCAGCCCTCTCCCCCCTCCCCCTGCGCAGCGGCCGCAAACTCACTGATGCGCCTGCAGCCTCTCGGAGTTCCTGCTGCTCTAAACATTAAAATAATTATTTCATTTTCTGTTCCTCACTTCTGATTACCTTCAATGGTGTCTGTTTGTTGCTACCACCAGGTACAAAAACTAACTTGTTTTTATTTGACTATTTTTCTGTCCTGTATCTGTTTATTATCTTCCTGCATCTCCTCTCAATCCTAAAGAGAAACTGCTACCTGGGTTCATATATATTCACCTCATGAGTTACCTTTGAACTGCAGTTCTAAAAGATCTACCGACTGCAAAAACAGTGGAGTGCGCGTTGCTCACCGGCCACATCAGTTAGGTGTGTCACCGAGGACAAAACAGGTGATGCGCCTTGATCCACAGCAGCGAAACGCATCAGGCACAAATAAAAGAATAAAAGACAGAAAACATAAAAGGAGATGAGCCGACATGAACGATTGTGTGTTAAATTAGTTTTTGAGGTGGCAACACCTGATTTGATAATGTTACTGTGGCCGTGCTCAGGACGCAGATGTCTGGAGCACGTCAACAATCAGAGCTTTGCATGCGCAAGCTGGTTAAGGTTAGGATGGGAGTGAGGGGAAGGTTAAATTGCAAGAGGGTAAACGTTACAATTTGGTTAAATGTCCGTTTTACGGTGGGTGCCGGTACCGGCACTCTGGCACAGCGCGTTGCCTCCGGACGCGCAGGAGCTTGTCACCTGCTGACAGCAGGCTGCTGTCTTCTCCGTGGACTGCATCTTGCCGGTCATTATCATGTGACAGCGACTAGTCGATGACAGGCATAAAAAGTCACTATAGAGCGGTGAAGTCGACTAGTGACTAGTTCATACAACCCCTGCTACTGCTCCCCAGAGTGTTCTGCAGCATAATCAGCACGTTCTCTTTGAACTTGATATCAAATTTTCACCTCCTCTTCGTCTCCGCATGGTTAAAGTTACCCTCGCGGTCTATCACTGGCAAATCAAAAGTGAGACGGATGACACAGCCGCCCCCGTACTTGCTTGTTACCACATTCCACCCGGCCACAATAAAAAAACGGCCATTATTCACCTCCGCCGACTCCGACGCCAGCCAAAATATGATACCCGGCCGTTAATTAAATACAGGCTAATATTAGAGGATTTACGGTATATACTACAACGGCTTGCCGCAATTCCTGCGCCAGCAGTAATGTTTGTGACTCGAATCTGCAGCGGTTCTGATCCATAGCGCTGCAGGATGCAGAATAAACAGGATGGTGGGGACTTTTCATCTGCTTGTAGAGTTTAGTCTTTCTTAGTTTTACGATCATCATATATTTTTTGTGCGCCGCTTAATCGTGAGACTGCTACCCTTTAGCTGTAGCATTAGCCAATCTACATGTAGCCGCACTTTTGATCCCAAACTTTGGACCGGTTCTGCCTTTGCGCCTTTACTGGTTCCTGTATTTTCCTCCACTGCATCCAGATGATCACACTGTGCGCCAGTAAAAAGCATTTTTCTTACACGTAACTTACTTTTGTTCAATAAAGTTCTGGGTAAAACAGTAATTCAAAGATGTTGCACCGGTGCTACGTTTAAAAATTGACAGACACGCACACAGTTTTTTTCATCGCACTGTACAGCCCTGCTCTTATATGGAAGAGCCTGGGGGAAAATCAGGACATCAATAGCACCAACCATAGATATGTAACTAGCGAGAAAAGCAATATTTGATCCTTGTCTGCTGCGGTTTTAGTGCTTTTCGGTGCACCGCTGCTGATACAGCGCTCCTGTAGTGGTGCAACACTGAAAATGCAGTTAAAATAACATCCATATAGCTGGGGGCAGAGTGAAATCAGGCTGGGGCGGCACAAAATTAGCTGGAGGCGGCCGCCATACTAATTTGAATGCAGGAAAAAACCCTGGTAGTGTTAGTTCACAAATCATTGTTTTAGTTTTTAAAGCTGACTTATTTCTAGAGATGTGTAATGATTTAAATTACATGTCATTTAATAAGCCATAAGGCGTAGGATTCCATAGTAAACATGAAATCAACCTTACGGATCTGTGAGATTATTTTAAACCATCCACATTTTTGCACATGCCTGAATTTCAGTAACTCAAGTTGCAAGCGCATTTAAAATTTGTTTGCAAGAATCCTAAATTCCTCCCAAATAACATGGCAGACTAGATCATGTGTCTGAAGGCAGCCAGCAAGCAGCAGAGTAACATTGTAGTTAAAAGTGACATATCATGGCTTTTTATTAACTTTTGATGGTTTTATGATAGATATGGAAAAAAAATAAAACAGTAACAAGGTACACCAGAACAGTAAAAGTAGTACAGAAAACTACTAAATATAAGCTACAGGGAATACTAATCATGGCTAAAAGTAACTGAAAACAAATGCAAAGTAGTGTAACAAGCATTTTGTTTGTGATCTAAACTTTTATATTTTATATCTGTAGGGTTCTCTCCTCAGAAGTAATGTAGCTAAGGGTGGCTGTGGCGGTATGGAGAGAGTGGCACTGATAAAATATTTATTTTAAACAAAAAACAACAACAGGTTGTCTCACTGTAACTTCCAGCTTTTGTTTCTAATATCTAAAGAAGACCACCTTTAATTCATGAAAATCTGACCGGATCATGTAAAAAATTGTATATTTCATATTCTTACAGCCCTTGAAGCATCTCACACATTCCACCCAGAGATGAATAAAGCAGAACATAAAGATCTTTGTGTGTTTTCTGTCCCCTGCCAGCCTCAGTAGAAAGGATACCTTTAATCAAGTGTCCAAATAGACCCATAAACCATGCTGAAAGGCCTCCCGTAGGAACCTTACTGTGTAAACAGCCCCATCACTCTGTCACCATCCTAAATTAAGATATAACACCACGCATGCGATTAACATTTGTTTTCAGACCAGGAACAGTACATCACGTTGATTAAATGAAGTTTGAGAGTTACACACAAAAGAAATGCTGTGTCATTTTTCCTTCTGCAGAGAACAGAAACTGGATTAAACAGAATGGATTTGCAAACACTGAAAACAGGACATGGTGGGTATTTACTGAGAACAAAAATAGCAAAGACCCATCAAAGAAAGTTTTCCCTCTGAAGATTCAAAGCCTTTTCTGCAGAGGTGAATTTTGTCTGTTACATCAAACTTCTGGTGAATTGAAATGAGCGTAGACCTCACGCACAATGTTTTGTTAAGTGCCATGGGCCTCTTATGAATTTGGCTTGCGCACAAAATGGCGTCTGAAAACTGTGTAAGTGGCTTTTCAAGCAAACATTGTGATTTATAAAGAACGACTTTACTGTGTGCAATTTTAAGCTAACTTTGGACCTGACGTCGGGACATTTTGGAGAAGGGACACCTGGCAGCACAGTCAGTGAGATTGAGAAATATTTTATTTTGGACACATTAACCGACATAGACCCTTGCGCTCGCATACAGAACCAACAAGCCCCGCTTAAAGAAAACCACCATTTGAAGCCATAGAAAGCGGCCAAAATGAGTTTTCTCCCCGGGTGTCTGGGCTCTCCCTTAAGCTTGGTTTATGCTTGACGCATTCACTTTCCGCGCGGTGATGCGGCTCGCGGCTGAAACGCGCTTCACAACTCGCAGCGTTTATGGTTTGTGCGGCTCGTCTCTGCGGTGAGCCAATATTCTCCCAAACTGTAGGGGGCAGCATGGAGCTCTACAGCATGCATCCAACACTACACCACAGTAGAAGTAGAAATCACTGTTTACAACATGGTATTTCAGCATTTTTAACAGCGTCCTCGTCTTTTCCGACGGTGCGAGCTATTTCTCTCCAAGAATTATTAACAACATGTTGATCACGGTGATCTCTGAGAGCTGAATCATACAAATGTCTGTATTTACGAACCTCTGCCGTGCCGGTCCGCCATGTTTTTCCGCGTCCGACCGTCCGCGTGGTTAGAAATTTTCCGAGGTGCGCGTTGCGGAAATCTTGGGCCGTGCGGAGACGCGGTGGAGGGGCGTGGTTGTTAAAATGATGCAAAATGACGCTACTTTTCCGCGCGGAGCCGTGCGGACCTCGCGGACGCGTCAAGCATAAACCAACCTTTAGAGATAGGGCGAGAAGCTCAGTCATCCGGGAGGGGCTCGGAGTAGACCTGCTGCTCCTCCACATCGAGAGAAGTCAGTTGAGGCGGCTCGGGCATCTGATTAAAGCTTGGTTTATGCTTGACGCATTCAATTTCCGCGCGGTGATGCGGCTCGCGGACGGAACGCGCTTCACAACTTGCAGCGTTTATGGTTGTCTCTGCCCTGAGCCAATATTCTCCCGAACTGTAGGGGGCAGCCTGGAGCTGTACGACATGGATCCAACACTACACCTACTATAGTAGAAGTAGAAATTACTGTTGTTTACAACATGGCAACACCACGGATGAGACGTGCGAGGTTATTACTTGAAGAGGAAGAAATTGTATGTTTACTATTGCTACGCAGCAGACGACGAAGGAGATGGTCCACTCGTCCATTAAACCAAAGTAGACGAGAAGTGAATATAGTTCCCTTGTGAGACCCATGTGTGGAATCGATGAACAGTCGCATTTCAAGTACTTCCGCATGTCTGCCAGTAGATTTGACGAATTGTTGCATCGTATTCGATCACATATTAACCACGCAGCGACCCACAGTAGCCCTGTGAAGCTGGAAGAAAGACTTGCTGTCACGCTTCGTGTGCTTGCATCAGGAAACAGCCAGCAAAGCGTGGCACAGAGCTACAGGCTATGATCCACAACAGTCTCCCTCATCGTCACTGAAGTCTGTGAGGCCCTTTGGTCGGCGTTGTGCAGTGATTTTGTCTCATTACCTGACAAAAACAAGTGGGCAAACATCTCCCAGGAATTCTGGAGTGTTTGGAATTCCCCAAATTGTTTGGATTGCGTGGATTGAAAACATGTGATCATAAAAGCACCACCAAATGCAGGGAGTGATTTTTTCAACTACAAAGGAACTCATTCCCTCGTGCTCATGGCTGTGTGTGATGCTAACTACAGACTTAGCATGGTGGAAATAGGGGCATATCGACGAGAGAGTGATGGTGGAGTTCTTCAGGAGTGCATGTTCGGGAGAAGGCTGCTCCATGGAACCCTGGACCTACCACCCCCGGCCAACCTGCCTGGTTCCACAACTACTGTTCCACACGTGTTCCTAGGTGATGCGGCCTTCCCTCTCCACCAAAACCTGATGCAGCCTTTTCCAGGTATGCTATCATTAGGATGTGATAGGATAAAGATTTCTTTAACTGGGATTATTATATAACCTAACCTTTTAACTTAACTTGCAGGAACAAACCTTGATGACACACAGCGGATTTACAACTACCGCCACTCACGTGCCAGGAGGGTGATAGAGAACAGCTTTTGCATCCTGGCAGCCCGATGGCGGATCCTGAGACGACCAATCGACTTCCACCCTGACAAAACTGTTAAAGTTGTGAAGGCCTGTGTGGCTTTACACAATTACCTGAGCAGCACTGATGCTGCCAACACCCCAGCCACCCGCTACGTCCCACCCAGGTTCTCCGACTCTTTCTCATCTGCAGATGATGTGGTGGATGGGGAATGGAGAAGAGTAGCTGCCGGTGACAGCAACCTGTTGGATGCTGGACAGCTCAGCAAGGCACGAGCAACTCGGGCTGCAATTTCAGCCAGAAATGATTTTAAGTCATTCTTCCTGTGACCGCAAGGACTTGTACCTTGGCAGGAAAGCGTGCTAAGGAGAGGTACACTGAATGAAGCCTCAGGTCTGGTCTGAATGTGTCTGTGGATGGAAGGGCATTTTCAATTCTGCAGTCAGTTTATTCAGGTCTCTAGGCAACAAGGAATAGAGCTCAACTCAATGCATTAAATCACACCATTTATTGTGTTCAAGGTAAAAAATGACACATGAAAAAATAAAAAATAAACCATAAAAAAATCACTGTGAATTGTTTGTCTCTATCGCTTCATACAGCAGCTGGTAGATTTTTAACTGGACAGACATTTTCTTTTCAGATGGCATTTTCCCCAGCAAGTCAGCAACAACATGTCCAAATCTAATATCCTCTGTGTCATTTAGGACAGCTTTCTCATGCTCAATCCTGTCGAGCCTTTTGAGTAACACGTCATCCATCTTCTTCCTCCTGTTTGGTGCTGGGCCTGGACTCATTAAGACACTGGTTAAACCTGAACAGAAAAGCAGTTTTGTAAATATTTAAAAATACATTTCCAATTAACTAAGTGTAAGTACAACTGCACGTACCACCACTGGATCCTGGAGAGGAGAAGACCTTTGCGGTTGGACAACTGTTGGACAACGTGTCTTGGAGGGTGCGTGGGCATATTGTGCTGATTTCAGATGAACTGGATGATGAAGGAGATGGCGTTGGGACAGGGGAGGGTGGGGAATCAGACTGGAGGAGATCTGCATCTGAGTGTGATTCCTCCACAACCTTTAAAATCAATAAAATAAAATTAACATATACTTATTTTATAGAAGCTGTTTGTTATTCAACATTAACAGAAAAAAATATTAAGTCTTTCTATGAATCATGTGATCAGACACATTTCTTAAACCTTCACAGAAAAATAACTTTACTTAGCACGGCTGATGTCACGTTGGTCTCTGTTGCTCGATGTTTTATGTAAGTTGAGAGCCAACTCAGCTCTTGTAGAATTGGTGGAGTGTTGTGGTTTCCACCAGGATCACCGCTTTTCCCTTTGTTCCCCTTTCTTGCCTTCACATATCAGTCCCTGATGTTTTTGCAGCATTTTTTCACAGCTTCCTCGTCTTTTCCGACTGTGCGTGCTATTTCTCGCCATGAATTACTTACAACATGTTGATCACGGTGATCTTTGAGAGCTGAATCGTACAAATGCCTATATTTGCGAACCTTCACCACAACAAGTTCTTGCCAGTCCGCCATGTTTTTACACGTCTGACCATCCGCGTGGTTAGAAAATTTCCGAGGTGCGCGTTGCGGAAATTTTGGGCCATGCTGAGATGCGGTGGAGGGGCGTGGTTGTTAAAATGACGCAAAATGACGCAACTTTTCCGAGCGGACCTCGCGGACGCGTCAAGCATAAACCAACCTTAAGATGCCTCCTGTACGCCTCCCTGCTGAGGTTTTCTGGGCACGTTCAACAGGGAGGAAGAAAGACCCAGGAAACGCTACAGGGAATATTTTCCCCTGGAGGGTCTGGCTCAAGCCAATCAATCAATCAGATTTGTTTATAAAGCGCTTTTCAAACAAAGTGCGACTCAAAGTGCTTTACAAAATGACCCCAGATTCCCATAACAGATTAAAAACATTAACAGACATATGCAAGCACGCACGCACGCACACACGCACGCACACACACACACACACACACACACACACACAAGTAAAAATTATATTTGGCTGAGTCCAGATGAGCCAAGTAAGGTAAGGCAAGGAAACGCCATCAGAGGAGCCGTCTGCCCCGGCAGCATCAGGTCTTCCACACTAAGTCAGGGTGCTCAGTGGAGGGGGAGCATAGACCCCCACCTGTAGAGCGCCCAGGAAGCTACAGTCGACCACCTCTCCTGGGGCAGAGGGCCCCTACAGAGAAAACACTGGATTAAAATGAGTAAAAATATAATAAAAGAGTTAATATAAATGTCAAAAGTTAGAAAATAAGTAATGAATAAAATCATATAGACAGAAAAATAATAATATTAAATAATACAAATGTGCTAAAATATAATCATATAAAACATGCAAAGCAAGCAATAAAATATAATCATGTAAAACGAGAAATAAAACTGTAGTAAATATTTAGATAAAAGCTAACCTAAATAGGTGGGTCTTGAGCCTGGACTTAAAACCATGAACGTTATCTGTGACCCTGAGGTCCTCTGGCAGCTCGTTCCAGAGGCGAGGGCCATAACACTAAGGACGCCTTGCCATGAGTGTGTGTCCTAACTTTAGGGATGACCAGGAGACGCCTGCCAGAGGAGCGCAGAGGCCGTGAGGGTTCATATGGTAAAAACAGCTCTGAGAGCTAAGAAGGCCCAAGACCGTTAAGACACTTAAAAACCATTAGAAGAATCTTAAATGGATCCTGAAACATACGGGGAGCCAATGCAATTATTCTAAAACTGGTGTAATGTGCTCCCGCCTCCTGGTCTTCATCAGGACACGTGCTGCCGAATTTTGTAGAAGTTGTAAGCCTGAGATGCTCTTTTTAGGAAGACCAGAAAGCAGGGCATTGCAGTAGTCTATCCTACTGGTGATAAAAGCATGCATCAGCATCTCCGTATTGGCCCGAGAGAGAATGGGGCGGACTCTGGCGATGTTCTTTAGATGATAAAAACCTATTTTTGTGATATTTTTAATGTGTGGGATAAAAGTCAGCTCAGAGTCAAAAATCACACCCAGGTTCTTCACTTGTTCAGATGGATTAAAAGACAGAGATTGTAATTTCGGTAAAAGTTTCTCACTCTGGGTCTCAGGACCAATGACTAAAACTGCAGTTTTATCCTGGTTGAGCTGGAGAAAGTTCTCTGCCATCCAGGATTCAATGTCTAAAATACAGTTAAAAAGTGCATCCATTGTCCAAGAGTCATCAGGAGACACGGAGATGTACAACTGTGTATCATCAGCATAACTGTGAAAGTTAACTCCGTGTCTCCTGATGACTCCGCCAAGTGGGAGCATATAAAGATTAAAAAGCACTGGGCCTAAAATTGAACTCTGGGGTACACCACATGTAATCCCATGGACCCTAGAGGAACAGGTATCCAAACTCACCATGAAAGTCCTGTCTGTGAGGTAGGATGTGAACCATCTATGTACAGCACCAGAGAGGCTGATCTGTTTTAAACAGTTAAAAGAATAGTGTGGTCTACTGTATCGAAGGCAGCGCTTAGATCCAGTAGAACCAACACTGTCAACTTCCGTCTGTCATAATTTACTCTAAAATCATTTAAAATCTTCAGAAGGGCCGTCTCGGTGCTGTGGTTCACCCTAAAACCAGACTGAAATTTCTCTAGGGCATTATTAGTGTTTATAAAATCATTTAGTTGATTTAAAACCAACTTTTCTAAAATTTTGCTTAAAAATGGTAAGTTGGATACCGGTCGATGATTGTTTAATTCGTTAAAATCTAAATTGCTCTTCTTCAACAGGGGCCTCACCACCACCTCTTTAAAGGCAGCAGGAAAGACCCCCGTCTGAAGGGAGCAATTCATCAGGGTTAAAATCTCATCACTAAAACATCCATAAAATTGTTTAAAAAGCGAAGTTGGGATTGGGTCCAGAACACATGTGGTGGGTCTCACTGAGGAGAAAACTTTATCAAGAGTCTCAGCTTCTACCAGGACAAAGCTGTCCAGTGTTTCCTCTGATATAGACACACATTCAGATCTATCTAAAACCTTATTACTTATAGGATAAAATATTCTGTCTGATGGTGTCTACCTTCCCTCTGAAGTGGGCTGCAAACTCCTCACAGAGAGCATTTGAGGGTGTTTTCTGAAGTGAATTGGATGTATGGTTTAAAATGTTGTTTATGGTGGAAAAAAGTATTCTGGGATTGTGTTTATTGTCTAGAATGATTTTGGAAAGGTATACATTTCTTGAATTTCTCACTGCGTTATTGTATGATTTAAGTAGCTCTGTATATATTTGATGATTTATAGTTGTTTTGTTCTTTCTCCATCTCCGCTCTGCAACCCTGCAATTTCTCTTTAGTTTCTTTAGATTTTCATTTTTCCACGGTGAAGCACGTTTAGAATAAAGACTTGATTTTAAGTGGAGCGAGCAGGTCGAGAGCGGATTTCAGTCTACTGTTAAAATCATTGACAGTAAAATCACAAGAGGCAGTTACCGGAGTGGGAGGGATCTTTCTAAAAACTTCAAGAAAACCTGCAGCCACTTCATCAGGGGTGAGATGACGCTTCCTTACAGTTCTCACAGAGGGTTCCAGCAGGATAAAACTGGTGATGCTAAAAAATACACAGTAGTGATCAGAGACAGCCAAATCAATAACAGAGGACACACTGGTGGACAGGCCATACGTGATGACCAAGTCCAGGGTGTGTCCTGTGTTGTGAGTTGGCTTTGTGACGTGTTGACTAAAATCCATATAACTCAGAATATTTAAAAACTCCTTTGAAAAAGGATCAGAAGGATTATCTATATGTAAATTAAAATCACCGGCTAAAATGATCCTTTCAAAGGAGTTGTGCAGGATTGATAAAAACTCTGAAAATTCTTGAATAAAAATGGCACTCTGCTTAGGAGGGCGATAAACTGTGACACATAAAATCTGAGGAGAGCTAAAAACTGCTGCTGTATATTCAAAAGTGGTAAAATGATCAAATAAAACTGGTTTGGCAGAAAGTATTGATGAACTACTAAAAGCAGTACCGCCTCCCATTTTGCTACTCCTCGTCAAAAAATTAAAATTAAAATCCGGCAGAGAAGCCTCTGTGAGAACAACAGGTGCATCTGAACTCAGCCATGTTTCTGTTAAAAACAGACAGTGAAGATTACGATCTAAAATCAGGTCATTTATTAAAAACGTTTTGTTCAGCAGAGAACGAACATTTAAAAGAGCCATATAAATAGTAACTGGTGAAGGAGTGACTGTATTAACTGAAGGTTGGACTTTTGGTAACTGTTTTAGATTACTGGGGTTGCTTTTGTTTGGTTTATGATTGTTTGTCCGCTCTCTGCTGATAATAACAGGTATGAATGAGGTATGGCAAGGTCCAAGTCCGATATGTGATTTACTGTTAAAATCAGGGCTGGGTTGGTAGGAGCAGGGACCAGCTACACATCAGGAAGTGGGAGCAGATGAGGCTGGTGGAGCAGACAGGGGGGGTCGTGGACAAGCCAGGCTCATGGTTAGAGTACGGGTCCGCTGTCTATTTAGGTGAAGCCCATCCGCTCCAAACGGGTGTCTCCTGCCCCCGAAAATGTTAAAATTGTCTATAAAACCAACATTACGGATCACGGTGGCAGAGGAAAGCCAGGTGTTTAATGATAAAAGTCTGCTAAAATGGCTGATTCCTCTGCCCATGGTGGGAGTGGGGCCAGAGATAAAAACAGACACATGAATGGTTCTTAAAAGATTAAAAATGTGAATAAAATCACGCTTGAGGAGCTCTGACTGCTGCTTACAGATGTCATTGGTACCG